GAACCCGTCCAGAAGACCTATACAATTTTTTTCTTTTTGATTTTTTACCTGGATTACTGAGATGCATCAGGACATTCTCCTGCTTGGTTTGTACATTGCAGAACTTTGCGTGTGAGACGTTACAAATATGTTCGAACACGTCTTTTGACACATTACCTGATTGCTTTGTCTCTGATATTTGAGCTGATGGGTCAGCTTTTCTTTAACAGTTCTTCTTTTACGTCTTCAGGAGGAGAAAGGACAGACTCTGGGGAAGTGTCTGACATTCAGAGACTTGAACATTTGCTCTTTGGGCCTCAGAAACACACAGTATCTAATATGCAGTGTATCCTGCACCTAGTACAGTATTGGGCTGTAAATCACTATTCCTACTTTATTCTTTGTTTGGCCCAGTCCTCATCTATTTGTTCCTGTAAAAATAGTTGATTATAGTAATTTATAAGTAATTTATAAAGCTCATYGAAAATATTACCTTCAAATATTCATTTATAATTGTTAAAAGAGAAAATTAAATGGAGATTTTTGCAAAACCTCCATTTGGAACTAGTTTGCCAGCTTCACTGTGATTCAAGGAAACATAAAATCTACAACAATATATGTTTTAAAAGATAACCAGGTTAAATTCATTGTGAAAGMTAGATGTTATGTAGTGTTTTGTGGAAATATATGAAAGATTCCTGATTTTTTCAAATTTGGAGATTGTTTAAGCGTAAGTTGTTTAAAGTTAATTTTTAAATAAGGGGCAGATATATTTTTTCTTCTTTCTGTAACCTTTTTTATTCTGTGATTGATATACTTTATTTTTTTAAAGGGGCAATATCATGTAAAATCAACTTTTATATCATGTTATGTTATCCTCTCATCAAAAACATACAGAGTCTTACTTTGACTCATTCATGCGTGTTTGAGAAATCCTGTAGTGTCCTGAGGCAGCCAGGCAGGAGAGCAAAAACAACCCGTTGGAACTAGAACCACCTTTTAGGATCAGCCCCTCCTCTGGGCTGTGTCTCCAAGCCGAGCTTCCTTATCACAGATTTTATTTATTTATTTTATTTACTGTTATTTAACAGAACACACCCACCCGGCCCCGTGTTGAAATGGGCGGGACAGAAGCAGAAGGAGGTTCTTAAAGAGACAGAGGCCAATTTCAAGGTGTTTAGAAACACATATGATGAGAAATCAAGTTTATTTTATATTTAAAGATAAAAACAGCATTTTAATAACTGAAGGTGACATAGTTACTTTATTATGGTATAAAATTTAAATATAGGCCTGAGAAACACATAATATTGGCCCTTTAAGTTGTTTGTTTGAAGTTATTCTTTAAATAAGGGGCAGATATAATTTAAGTTTAAGTTTTGTAGTTTGATTTTGTTACTGTTTTTAATGAGTATTTTATGTTTTTATGTGCAAAATGTATTCATT